GGACTTCAAGAAGAGCAGTCAGTACAATTAATCACTGAGCCGTTTATCCAGCCCCTTCTCTCTAGATTTTCAAGACAACAGTTTCTCTGTGTAGTCCTGGGTGTTCTGGAACTCACTCTGTAGACCAGGCTGGCCTCAGACTCAGAGACCTGCCTCTCTCTGTCCTGTTGGGATTAAAGATGTGAGCCACCGCCCAGCTAGCTTGCTTTCTTCCTTCCTTCCTTTCTTCTTTCCTTCCTTCCTTCCTTCTTTCCTTCCTTCCTCCCTCCCTCCCTCCCTCTCTCTTTCTTTCCTTCTTTCTCTCTCTCTTTGTTTCTTTGTTTCTCTCTTTCTAATCACCAGTATTCCTGACCCTATTTTGCAAGCCCCACAGTTCGCCCATTCTGGTGTGCAGTTTAGTGGCTTTGGTGTCTTTACAAACACATGCAAGCACCCCATAGTCCTTTCCACACCCAACGCACATCAGATGGAATGTGGGGGTACTGAAGATCCCCCAGCCAATCATATCAGAGCTAGCTAGCTTCAGGTGCATGGGGTTCCCAGACCTATGCTGGGCTGGTTACTCAGGTATCATTGTCTACGATTTTAAAAAATAATTTATTTTATTTTATTTTTTCTTGTGTGCATTGGTGCGAGAGGTCAGATCCCTTGGAACTGGAATTACAGAGAGTTGTGAGCTGCTCTGTGGGTGCTGGGAATTGAACCCAGGTCCTCTAGAAGAGCAGACACTGCTCCTTAACCACTGAGCCATCTCTCCAGCTCCTACAAAACTTTTTATATCAAAATTTTAACTAAATTTTAAGACAAGGGCTCATGTAGTCCAAGCTGGCTTTGAACTTGCTATGTAGCTGAGGCTGACTTTGAACAGTTATTCATTTCTCGTTTTGGGCGGGAGTTCAAGACAGAGTTTTACTCTATAGATCCGGCCATTCTGAAACTCACTCTGTAGACCAGGCCAGCCTCAAATTCACAGAGATCTACCTTCTCCTGCCTCCCAAGTGCCGGGATCAAAGGCGTGTGCCACCATACCCACCTGGTTCACGCTTGCCTTCCTTCCTTCCTTCCTTCCTTCCTTCCTTCCTTCCTTCTTTCTTTCTCTCTTTTTTTTTTTTTTTTTGGTTTTTTGAGACAGGGTTTCTCTGTGTAGCCCTGGCTGTCCCTGGAACTCACTCTGTAAACCAGGCTGGCCTCGAACTCAGAAATCCGCCTGTCTCTGCCTCCCAAGTGCTGGGATTAAAGGCGTGCGCCACCACCGCCCGGCTCATCTTTCTTTCTTTCTTTCTTTCTTTCTTTCTTTCTTTCTTTCCTTCTTTCTTTTTAACTTTTTTCCCTTTTATTGGATATTTTCTTTATTTTCATTTCAAATGTTATCCTCTTTCCAGGTCACCCCTTTGGAACACCCTATCCTATGCCCCCTCCCTCTGCCTCTCCACTACCCACCCACCCGCTCCCGCCTTCCCACCCTGGCATTCCCCTATACTGGTGCATTAAACCTACTCAGGCCCAAGGGCCACTCCTCCCACTTATGTCCAGCAAGGCCATCCTCTGTCACATATATGGCCGGAGCCATGGGTCCCTCCATGTGTACTCTTTGGCTGGTGGTCCAGTCCCTGGGAGCTCCAGGGCGTCTGGCTGATTGATACTGTTGCTCCCCGCATGGGGCTGTAAACCCCCTCAGCTCCTTCAGTCCCTTCCCCAACTCCTCCATCAGGGACCACACACTCAGTCTAACGGTTGGCTATAAGCATCCACCTCTGTATTTGTCAGGCTCTGGCAGAGCCTCTCAGGAGACAGCTATATCAGCTTCTGTTAGCAAACACTTCCTGGCATCCTGGTTTCTTTCTTCTTTTATAATGTTATATAATTGACCTGTTTTGTTGTTATTGTTGTGGTTGGTTGGTTGATTTTTTTGAGACAAGGTCTCACTATCTCAACTGTAGCTAGCCTGGAACTTGCTATGTAGACCAGGCTGACCTTGAACTCACAGAGATCTACCTGTTTCTACTTCCTAAATGTTGGGATTAAAGATGCCACCAAGCCTAGTTTTTTTTTTTTTTTAAAGATTTATTTATTTATTTTATTATGAGTACACTGTAGCTGTCTTCGGACACACCAGAAGAGGGCATCCAATCTCTTTATGGATGGTTGTGAGCCACCATGTGGTTGCTGGGATTTGAACTCACGACCTCTGGAAGAGCAGTCCGTGCTCTTAACCACTGAGCCATCTCTCCAGCCCCCAAGCCTAGTTTTATTTCCTGTCTTCACCCAGCTCCTCAGGCTATTTCTGACCCTGTTCAGATGTGGAGATAAACACCGTGCAAAAGTTGAGTACACATGAGCCCCTTGGGATATGTCCATGACTAGCATGCTGACAGAGGACCGGGTACTCCAGGGCCTGGGCACTTCCAAACCTCCTTCTCCCATGTATCTAGTATGACCTAGGCTGTAGCTCCAAACTACAGGTGGTTTTGGCCTTCAAGCTCCAGATGTGTCTGAAGCCACTCTGGGAATGACTGCCCCATGCTTTTCTGAGTCTCTCTGTTTCTAGAAATCCCCCTGGCACCCCAAATCTCACTTCTCTCTCCCCCGGTCAGTACCTCTCCTCTCCTTCTTGAAAGGACACCAGTCAATGTAGAGAGCTCTCCGACTCTGCCTGTGAAAACCTACTTCCAACAAGCCCACGTGCACAGGTCCTTTGGGGATGCAGCCTGGGACACCTTACTTCCCAAGCTCAGCTCAGCTGTTAACAGGAAACCAGGAGTGATCTGGTAGAGCTCATGACTGCTCTCTGCTCATTCCCACATGACCCTCTTCCTTGTGACAGCTCTGGTCTGCCCACCTGCTCTCCAGAGCTCTCTCTGCTTAAGGAAGTTCAGGGGAAGGGTGTTCATGGAGCCTGGTTGCTGACCAGCCTGTGGCTGTGGCACTGGCAACCGTTCACCCTCTCTAGTATGGTGGGGTTCTTAGGCTCCATCCAGAACCTGCTTCTTCTAAGGAACTGAGGAAGGCATGAGTCAGAGGTGTCTGCATCAATTTCTGAACTCGATCTTTTATTGTCTCTCTTCCCGCTCACTATAGTCTTTGGCGCTGGACTTTGAGTTTTGCAACAGGTCACATGATTTGAAGTAACTTCATAGCCTTTCCTGCCTGGCCCTGCCCACCACAGCCTAGGGAGAAAGCCATTGGCAGCACACCAGCCAGATTGGGAGACACCAGACTCCAGCCAGCTACAAGGAAGCCCCAAAGAAGCAGCTCTGGGCACCTCTGGTGAGTGACTTGCTGGAGCCATTGTCCCTGCCTGGCTCATTAGCTGTTCCTCTTGTTGCTGTGAAGAAACAGGTCACCTGAGCTCATGGTTTGGGGATCAGTCTTACTTGTAGAGTGTGTGCCATTGGGAACATGATCTGTTCACACTGCACCCACAGACAGGAAGCAGGGAGAAGCAGAGTGCTGTTCCGCTGGCTTCTCTCTCTTCACTCAGTCTGGCATGGCAGCCCACAGACATGCAGAGATGATTCTAATACAGTCAAGATGATGATTGAGGTTAGCTGTCTCAGGTGGACGGGGTGCTGTTCACAGAGACAGGACACCCCAGCTATCACTTTCTGTTTGTTATAAACCACCAAGGTTTGAGGGCACCTTCAGAGCACAGACCTCTTTATGGGAGGCCAGGCCATGGGGTCAAATGAAAAGAATCAGACCACGGTGCTCTGTGGACCTGAGACTGTTCCCACCTATGCTTAGAGGCACAAGGGTGTCGGCAGGGCTGTGTGTGATGGAGAAACTTAGTGGCCAGTGTCCATCCACAGAGCATCACTGGAGCAGTGGCTTTAAGTGGATGGTGCTTGTGACTTTGTCTCCCACAGTGGCAGAAGCCAGCTACCGCAGATACTGTAGCAGCCATTATGAAATGGCTAAAGATAGGGAAGCTCTGTAGCGGGGAGCCCTTCCCAGCCCCCTCGTTGATCTGAAAGCTGGTGGGTTTTGATTGTTTAATAAGGTCCAGGTTGCACATGCCTTTTATGCAGCCATCTCGAGCCTTCCTCTGATTCCTGACTGGCAAAATCAGTCCCGGGTACGTGCTCTGGCTAGCCCTGTCCCCATGTCACCCTTTCTGCCTTTAGAAGAGCAACAGCACCAGCTGCCCGACACAGCATCCAACTCCAGGACAGTTTCTTTCTTTTTTTCTTTTTTGTAAGATTTTATTTGTTTTGTATATATGATCAGTACACTGTAGCTGTCTTCAGACACACCAGAAGAGGGTATCAGATCCCCATTACAGATGGTTGTGAGCCATCATGTGGTTGCTGGGAATTGAACTCAGGACCTCTGGAAGAGCAGTCAGTGCTCTTAACCACTGAACCACCTCTCCAGCCCTAGGACAATTTCTTTTCTTTTCTTTTTCAAGACAGGGTTTCTCTGTGTACCCCTAGCTGTCCTGGAACTCACTCTGTAGACCAGGCTGGTCTTGAACTCAGAAATATACCTGCCTCTGCCTCCCAAGTGCTGGGATTAAAGGCATGCGCCACCACCGCCCGGCCCAGGACAATTTCTTAACCTTACTTTCTTTTCTCCCCACTTTGTGTGTGTGAATGTGTGCGTGTGTGTTTGTGTTGCTGAGGATGGAACCTACACCTAGCACCTCAGCAGGGCTGGGTAAATACTGTAGCACTGAGCTTGTGCTTCCAGATCCTGACCGGTTTTTATTGTCATCTTGGGTTAGTGAAGTCCCCTGGCCATGAGCAGCAAATGACTAATGTGGTTTCCTGACACCAGGTGAAGCCGCCTGCCTGCCAGAGGTGAGGGGTGGGAGTAGGGGGCAGGCGGTGGGAAGACAGCCTAGTGTAGTTACAGGGTGTTCCTCTGACTCTCCAAGTTGGATGTTGTTTCTCTAACCGGTAGTGTGGAGCCAAGAAAGTTGGAACGGAAAACTCCCTGGCCTCGGAAGCCCAAGAACCGTCTTCGATTGCACCCACATCCCGGCCTCTCAGAGTGCAGGGATGGCAGAGCTGTGCCGCATGGATTCCACACTGACCGCTCTGGATGAGGAGATGCTCTGGGATATGCTGGAGAGTCACAGATGCAGGATTGTGCAGAGCATCTGCCCCAGCCGGCTCACCCCGTACCTGCGCCAGGCCAAGGTGCTGGGCCAGCTGGACGAGGAGGAGGTCCTCCACAGCTCCCGGTTCACCAACAGTGCCATGAGAGTTGGTGAGTCCATAGCCGTCAGCCCCTCCTTGAGTCACTGGGGTTACAGCTGGGCTCTTCCTGCCCAGCAGCTCAACAAGGCTTGCGCTACAGTGGTGGGGGTGGGGGAAAGCTTCACACCTGTTATCCCAACATTCCAAGTGACTGAGACAGGAGGATGGCTACAAGTTCAAGGCCAGTCCAGACTGCAGTGTGAGATCCTATCAAAGCGGGTGCGGGGAGAATGTAGCTCTATTAGTAAAAACCTTGCCAGCATACACAAAGCAGAGTGAGCCAGATCCCCAGTGCCACACAAGCCAGCAGGTGTGCACCCATAACCCAGGCACTGTGGGGTGCACCCATAACCCAGGCATTGAGGTATACCTGTAACCCAGGCATTGTGGGATATACCTGTAACCTAGAACTTGGGAGGTAGAAGTAGGAAGATCAGAAGTTTAAGGATATCTTCAGCTCTGTATCAAGAAGTTCTAGGCAGCCTGGGGCGTTTAAAGCCCTATCTATCTCAAAACAACCTCTGCAACAAAAACATCAAGGGAACCAAAGGTTCCCATGTCCAGGATTCTGTGTTAGTCTCCTAACAAAGTCCCAGCAAATAGCTATAACAACGCTGTTCAAAACAAGCATGATAGGGACCGTGGTATAGCTCAGTGGTAGAGCACAGTCTCGACAGGCAGGAGGCCTTGACTTCCATCCAAGCTCCAAGGGAAAGAAACCCCCTCAGGGCTTTGTGCACTCAGTTCTGCAGCCTAAAAGTCTTGTGTGTGTTATGAACAGGGCTGTGATCCCACTGCAGGCTCTATGCAGACATTTCTTGCCTTTCAGCTCTAGGTGGCTTCCGGAAATGCTGGGCATGTGGTCCTGTCATTCCAACTCTGCCTCCGTGCTCACACGCTCGCTTCCTGTGTTTTCCTCTTCTTGTAAGCACACTTGGAGTTGGAATGTGGCCAACTTTACCTTCTCTTTCTTTTAATTTTTAAATTTAATTTTTGACTGAGATGGTGTCTCGTGTACACTTGCTGTGTGACTTAGGATGAATGTGAGTTTCAGTTTGCCTATCTCTGCCTCCCAGGCGCCAGGATGACAGGTGTGAGCCGGTCCTCCTTGTCTATGTCGTCCTGGGGACTGAATGCAGGGCTCTGTGCATGCTGCACAATCCTGCTACCAACTGAGCCACACACCCCAGCCCCAGGACGGTCTGACCTTGAGATCTTTCACCTAATTATATCGACAAAGATCATTTGTCCAAAAGGGAAAAATCTCACACAGGCACTGTCTTCGTTTGATGTCTGCTACCGTGATAAACACCATGACCAAGAGCACTCGGCGAGGAAAGGGTTTATTTGGCTTACACATCCGAACCGCCAGTAGATCGTTGAGAGAAGCCAAGGCAGGAACAGAAGCAGAGGGCGTGGATCATGCTACTCGCTGGCTTGCCCCCCATGGTTTCCTCCGTCTTCTTTCTTATACACTCCAGGACCACCTGCCAGAGGTGGCTTCATCCACAGTGGTCTGGGCCTTCTCCATCCATCATTAATCAAGGCAATGACCCACAGGCTGGCACACAGGCCAGTTCCTCAAGTGACATTCCCTCTTCCCCAATGACTCTAGTGTATCTGGTTAACAAAAACTAACCAGCACTGGTAGGTTTGGGGGGGTGACATATCTTGGGGATGTCTTTGCAGTTTGTTCTTCTGGTCTGGCAGTCAGTATCTTCTCACTCAGAAGTGACTGTGCCACAGAAGGTTAGTGGGTGAAGTGCTGTTGACAAAATGCTCACTGCAAATGCAGGCCCCAGAGGCCAGATGACAGATGGCAAGTATTGATGTCACAGTGTATGTGCACTGATCTAGAGTATTGAAGAGATTGATCTATAAAAGGTCGGCGTTCTCAACACACACACACGTACATACATACATGTGCACACGTACATACATGTACACACGTATACATGTGCAGCACACATATACATGCACATACACACACGTGTGCACAAGTACACACATGCAACACACATACACATGCACGTACACACACATTCACACACACACACATATATATACACACGCAAACATACACTCACACGTGACAGAGACAGAGAGAGACAGAGGCAGAGAGACAGAGAGGGAGAAAAAAGACAGAGAGAGAAAGAAGGAGAGAGGGAGAAACAAAGAGAGATAGAGAGGGGGAAACAGAATGAGAGACAGAGAGAGACAGAGAGAGAAGACAGAGCACTCAGGATTGTAAGATTATACATCTACACATGCCCCTTTATACCCAGCTCATAGAAGAATATTTTCTTGGCCCTAGTAGGGATCCAACTAATATGGATCTTGCCTGAAGTTGGTGATGTGTGAATCAAGGTTGGGCACAGAGCCTGTACGTCCTGCCAGGGATCTCAGAGAACTCCAGTCCCCAGCTGTCCACACACTGGTGGCTCAGGCTCTCTCTCTCTCTCTCTCTCTCTCTCTCTCTCTCTCTCTCTCTCTCAAGGGCACTTGCTGGATCTGCTGAAGGCCCGAGGGAAGAACGGAGCCATTGCCTTCCTAGAAAGCCTGAAGTTCCACAACCCTGATGTCTACACCCTGGTCACTGGGCTGCAGTCTGACATTGACTTCAGCACCTTCAGCGGTGAGAGCCAGATCAGAGTCCTGCTAATGCAGTACCTCCCTCCCAGCCATGGTCTCTGGCCCTGGGCCTGGCACCATCCCAACTCACTGCACTGGGAGAGAGGAGGGAAGAAGCCCCCAGACTTGGGTGCTTCAAGGCCCATCTTCAAGATCCTGTACAAAGAGGAGACTCTGGGGGGCCTGAATGCACTCCAGAAGTGAAGGGCTGCTTAAGGGAAAGTCTAGTGCCGGGCGGTGGTGGCGCATGCCTTTAATCCCAGCACTTGGGAGGCAGAGGCAGGTGGATTTCTGAGTTCGAGAGTTCGAGGCTAGCCTGGTCTACAGAGTGAGTTCCAGGACAGTCAGGGCTACACAGAGAAACCCTGTCTTGAAAAACCAAACCAACAAAAAAAAAGGGGGGGGGGGAAGTCTAGTGTCTCTCTTCCCAGGGTCAGGAGCAGAGAAGCTAAGACTTCTGCAGGAAAGCACAGTCATGCAGTAAAGGCTTAGCCTGTATGGTGGGATGTACGGTCGTGTTCAGGAGCTGACAGACTCTGGCCTTTCCCAGGGAGCTGTTGAAAGATCTGGGTGTTAAAAGAGCAGAACTCTTGGGGAACTCAAAGCAGCAGCTAATAAGCCATCTGTTCTGGGTCGGTGCAAAAGGCGCATTCATGTGAGTTCTGTCCGGAGACTTATGTCTCTGCTGTGTTTTCCTTGGAGTTCTACAGAAATTGCTAACCTTGAATACAGTCAGCTAGCTCATAAGTGGGTGGGGCTGGAGGAGAGTGGCAGGGTCTCACCAGGTGACAGAGAGAATGATCACCCATCTGCAGGTCTCATGGAGACATCCAAGCTGACCGAGTGTCTCGCTGGAGCCATCAGCAGCCTGCAGGAGGAGCTGGCTCAGGAGAAGGCACAGAAGGAGCTTCTGCTGCGGAGATGCCAACAGCTGAAGGAGCGCCTGGGCTTGGCTGAGGCCCACGCAGAGGGTCTGCGCCAGCTGGAGGCCGACCACAGCCGCATGAAACGTGAGGTCAGCACGCATTTCCATGAGGTCCTGAAGCTGAAGGACGAGATGCTGAACCTGTCACTGCACTACAACAACGCTCTCCGAGAGAAGGAGCTGGCTGCCTCGCGCTGCCACAGCCTGCAGGAGGAGGTACCTTCCCTGAGGAGGAGTCCAAGTAGGATGCCTCTTTCACATGACCCCAGCTGGGCAGCCTCTATCACGACCTGCAGACCTCCTGGGTTTGCCTTATGGTGACAGCTCTGGTGCTGCCCACGGTACCGAACTCGGGCGTAGGCCTGGGGGATTAAAGAAATATTCAGACTCGGGTCATCTATTATGAGAGAATGCCAATACCTTTACTGAGCAGGCTCAATATATACACCAAGCCAGGGAAGGAAAAATACAAACTCAGGAAAAAACAGGAACTCAACTGGGTGGCAGTAGGATGTCAAGAGTAAATTCCCTTCCTGGGGCACCATGCCTTAGTCAGGATGTTTTGATCCTAGAGGAACCGCAGAATGTTACTTAGGAGACAACAGCATACGGAAAGGCTCAGCCAGGGCATAGCAGCCCTTCGGGGTCCTACATTATAGGTACTTCTTTCCAGGAATGCTAGACCAACATAGGGGCAGATCCAGGTTTCTCTTGGGCCTCTGACCAAAAGAAGAAAAGAGGCCAGTCTGATCTGGCTGGGTAGTTTGGGGCTTCAGGACCCTGGATACACACAGACTCCTGGACTCAGAAGGGTACCACAGGAAACTCTGCTTGGCTGAAGGATCCACTTCCTGTGGCTCTCAGGATCCCTAGCCGTCACTGGCTTGACTTGGCTGGTTTGGTGATGGTGCTATTTATCTTTATGAGTCCATATTCTCTCCATCAGAGGGATGAGGGCAATAAAACCAGGGGCCCTGGCGGCCATCAGTCTGACTGTAGATATAGGAGCTGGTACTGTACCCCCTTGGTCTGTTCCCAGGGACCCAAGGCACCAGTTTAAGCACTGAGCCTCATCCTTAGCAAAGTAAAGCTAAGGTGCTTTCTCTGAAAAGACCGCTTAGTGGCTCAACTTTTCTGTTGCAGTGATGAAACATCATGGCCAAGGGAAACATAGAAGGAAGGGTTTGCCTGGGCTGTGGCTCCGGAAGGGTAACAGTCTTTCACAGCAGGGAGTGAGGGCGGCAGACAGTCCAGGTGGCCAGGGAAGGAGGCTGACAGATCATAGCCTTGACTAAACACAAAACAAAGAAAGTCCGAGTGTAGCAAGGCTCTGCAACCCCAAAGTCTGCCCCTCTTGACACACCTCCACCAGGAAGTCCTGTACCTCCTGACCTCCCCAAATGGCACCACCAACTGTAACCAAGTGTTCAAACACCCAAGCCAAAGGGGAAACTTACCATTCAAACTGTCATAGTGGCTAAGAGTACACACTGTTTTTCCAGAAGACCCAAGTTCAGGTCCCCAAACCCATACTGGGCAACTTATAACTTCAGCTCCAGGGGGAATCTAATGCCTCTAGCCTCTGCAGGCAACCGCAGTCCACACAGATAGATGTCTACACAGATAGATGATATACACTCATACATGTAATTTAAAATAAAAAAATACTACTATAAATGCTCCTTCTTCTCATGAGGGTCTGGGATTGCTCAGGAGGTGAACACACGTATGATGCCTTTGGAGCTCGGGGCTGAGGCCCTCCACATACCAGTAGCAGCAGCAGTAAGGATGGGCAAGCTGCACCCAGCCATGGCCAATGCTTAATGGCTTTTCCCATGATCCTCCTCACACTTCCTCCTACACAGCTCTACCTGGTGAAGCAGCAGCTCCAGCGGGCAAGCCTTGTATCTTCATGTGAAAGAGAATCTCGAGAGAGGTCCCTGAAGATGGCCAGCGACCTGGAGCCTGAGGGAGAGGAACTAAATCAGCTTAAGGAGGAGAATGAGAAACTCTGTTCGATGACCTTCAGCCTGGTAGGTCTTGATCCCTGGGAGCGGGGAGGGTTGCGGGGGAGGTGGTGGCCGACTCTCCTGCTGATCTGGAAAGGCTTTGTCTTATCTTAGGCAGGTCTTGAACTTATAATCCTCCGACCTCAGTATCCTGGCATGATAGACCTGCACCACCAGGTCAGGTTATGCAATCCCCTCTCATTCCTTCCTGCTTCCCTCTTCCCACCCACCCAAATGGTGATAGCATTAAAAACCTTGTCCCTATATTAGCTTGCACCATGGGCTAATTTACTGAGACCACATGGAGCTGCAATAGAGAGGCCACTTGGAACAGTGGGTTCTGCTGGGTGAGGTGGTATATGTCTGCAATCCCAGCATGGAAGCCAGAGGCAGATGATATCTGAAGAAACTATAGAGATATGGGAATATGAATCTGTTCTGCCCTTAAGACTTTGTGCATCCTGTTCACCATGACTCTGGGAAAGTAGGCTTCCTAGAGCCTAGGAACTGGGGACACTGAAGCCCTGGAATTCTGAGAACACTTTACTTCCTCCTTCTGATTCCTTTTTCTTTCTTTTCTTTTTTTTTATTTTTTGAGGTGGTGGGTTTGGGGTGATGGATCAAGTCAGGGTTTCGGGCTGAAGAGATGGCTCAGCCGTTAAGAGCACTGACTGCTCCTTCAGAGGTCCTGAATTCAATTCCCAGCAACCACATGGTGGCTCACAACCATCTGTAATGGGATCTGATGCCCTCTTCTAGTGTGTGTCTAAAAACAGCTGCAGTGTACTCATATAAATAAAAAATAAATAAATCTTAAAAAAAAAAAAAAGACAGGGTTTCTTTGTGTAGCCCTGGCTGTCCTGGAACTAGCTCTGTAGACCAGGCTGGCCTTGAACTCGGAGATCTACTTGCCTCTGCCACCATCACCCAGCTCCCCTTGATTCCTTTTAATTAAGAAAAAAATAGTGTGTGTGTGTGGGGGGGTTTACTGGAGAGGTGGCTCAGTGATTAAGAGCACTTGCTGTTTTTGCAGTTGACCAAGGTTTACTTCCCTGGACCCACATGGCAGTTTATAGCCATGTGTGACTCCAGTTCCAGGTGTTCTAGTGCCCCCTTGTGGCCTCTACAGGCATTGCAGCCACATGGTACATATACACATATGTAGACATACACATAATCTCTTTGATAAGAAATTCCTTCAGTATATCTTCCTTGGGGGTGGGATGTGGCTCATTGTAGCTTGGACTGAACTGTGTGTCATTCCCATTTGTTCTTCCCCAGGTGGAGAAGGACATTCTGGAACAGAGCCTGGATGAGGCCCGGGAGAGCAAGCAGGAACTGGTAGACCGCATCCACTCACTGCGGGAGAGAGCAGTGGCTGCAGAGAGGCAGCAGAAGCAGGTGAAGCTGTGATGCCCTTCCTTGGAGTCCATCTTAGGCAGGCTCGTTTGCTGGACAGAGAGAGAGAGACAGATTCACTCAATCATCAACACAGTCTAACTTCTCTGTGTTAACTCATAGCCCAGACCTCATAGTCAGGCAAGCAATGGAGAAACCCCTGAAGTGTGTCAAAGGCTTAGGGACCACTAGAGCCCAGGATTTAGACAAGGGAAGATGGAGAGAAAAGAAGGGAAGTACGAGAGAATAAACTAGGGGGAAATTGCTTGTGTATTTTGAGCCGTTAAACAGCATATGATTCTGCACACATGCATGCACAATTGCTGACAGCATCCAGTAGGATTAGCTCTGTGGCTCGTAGACTCTCTCAAACCCATTCTCCACTTGCCCTCCAAGCCCCTGCCTCCCTTCCCCCCATCTCCATTTACCCCTTCCCACATAAGCTCTCAGAGCCAGTGAGCACTGTGGGTATGCTCTTGTTCTACAGTACTGGGAGGAGAAGGAACAGACACTGCTCCAGTTCCGGAAGACCCAGGTGGACTGTGAACTATACAGAGAAAAGATGACCATGCTTCAGGGCCAGGTGGCTGAGCTGCAGAAGGAACGTGACCAGGTATCCTAAGTGTTGTGGGACAGACCTGGAGGGGAGGATTCGGGTGTCTGCTCCTGCTGGCACAGGGCAGGATGATTCCACCCTCTACGCTGTCTCCTGCTGGTGTGTGGATGAGGCTCCAAGCTGCTGGCTCAGGGGATAGGATTCAAATTTCAGGGTTTCTTTCCTCGGTCCATGGGAGGTTTCCCACTCTCCTGCAACACACTGACATGGGCTTTCTGTCAAGCTCCTGGCCCTTGTACCTGACACAAGCCATAGACTATCCATCCCAGATATGAATTTTATTAAAACATAATAGGTTTGCATATTCAGTGTGAGTCTTGGTTAGTGTACACTGAGTGAGTTCACAGTAAAGTACCCACAGCGTGGGGGTACCTTTTGCAGCTCAGATGCCTGGCTTGTTGTTCCACCCCTAACCACCCCTAACTACTCCTGCCTGTCTCTCCTGTCTTGGCTACAGGCATACTCAGCAAGGGACAGGGCCCAGATGGAAATTTCTCAGCGCCTGGTGGAGAAGGATGCCCTTCGCAGGAGAGTGTTTGAGCTGACGGAACAGGCCTGCGAGCTGCGCACTCAGCTGCGCAGACTGCAGACCGAGGCCCCAGGAGGAGTGAGTGCCCCACCCCAAGAGTGGGAGGCTGGATAGTGGGCAGCATGGGTGACAGGGATGCACAGGCAATGATAACTGAGCTGGAGAGATGAGGACTGAGCCCACACGGTCCTCCACAGAGCTGTCTGCCTCTTGTCAACTGTGGAGCTGCGAAGTGCCAAGTGCACAGGACAGGACCAGCTTGCTTCTGCTTCAGTTCATGTTGTGTTATAGAAAGGGAAGTTTAGGGTGAAGGTTCTGGAACCAGGAAATCTGGGTGTGTTGTGACAGAAGAGGCGTCAATATGTCTACTTTGGAGAGATGATTTTCCCAAAGTCAGAAATTCAGGAGCTGAGTGACACAGATGTTGTGGTGAGGGAATATTGTGCTTGAGAGTTGTGTCACAAAGTCTGTTTGGTCCCTCGGGCAGCATGGGTCAGGTTCCCTGGGCAGCCAAGACTGCTTAAGTATCCATGGTCCAGGAGGAGGCACAGTCAGAGTCTCTTCCTTGTTACACCCCTTCCTGTGTGCTCATGTGTGTGTGCAAGCACACGTACAAGTGTGTGCATGTGCGTGTGTGGTCTCATGCCGCAGCCATAATCTGCTACTAAACCGTATACATCCCCAGACCTCCTCCAACCTTTTTTTTTTCTTTTTTGGTTTTTCGAGACAGGGTTTCTCTGTGTAGCCCTGGCTGTCCTGGAACTCACTCTGTAGACCAGGCTAGCCTCGAACTCTCGAACACAGAAATACACCTGCCTCTGCCTCCCAAGTGCTGGGATTAAAGGCATGCACCACCACCGCCCAGCCCTCCTCCAACCTTTTAAAAACCTTTTTATTTTTAGAATGGACTCATTAAGTTGCCCAGTCTAGCCTTGAACTCTTTTTTAAAAATATTTTTGATTGATTTATTTATTTTATGTATGTGAGTACAGTGTAGCTGTCTTCAGACACACCAGAAGAGAGCATCAGATCCCATTACAGATGGTTGTGAGCCACCGTGTGGTTGCTGGGAATTGAACTCAGGACCTCTGGAAGAGCAGTCAGTACTCTTAACCGCTGAGCCATCTCTTCAGCCCTTAGCCTTGAACTTGTAACCCTGCCTCCTCAGTCTCTTCAATGGCTGAATGTACAAGCCTAGGCTACCAGGCCCAGCTTATGATGTATGCACATGCACAAGTACAAATGCATGCAAAATACATATATACATGCATATACCAGCAAAATGGCTTAAGTAGTAGCACCAAGCCTCACGATCTTAGCTCAACCACATGATCCGCAGGGTACAGGGAGAGAACCAATTCCCGCAAGTTGTTCTCTGACTTCCAGAGGCACACCATGGCATGTGCATATGTGCACACATGCGCGCACATAAAGTAAATATAATCACATGCTATTTGGTAATATGTGTGTCTATATATGCATATATGTGTGAACATATACCTATTTTATGCACATGTGTCTATGTGTCCATACACAGACAAAGGACTGGAAGGGTGGGCACCAAAACTCTAGTCACACAGATATAATTTACTTTTATGGGTGTGTGTGTGAGCACATGGCTATGCACAACATGAGTGGAGACCAGAAGAGGGCATCAAAGCCCCTGGACCCGGAGTTACAGATGGTTGTGAGCTGCTATGTGGGTGCTGGAAAGAGAACCTGGCCCTCTGCAAGTGCAGACCTATCCCTGACCACTGAGCTGTCTCTCCAACTGTAACTGCTCATTTTGGGTTTGGGGTGTGTCCAATGTCATCTGCTTCCCGTCTCTAATCGCTTCTTCACCCACCCTCATTTTCTTTTTCTTTTTTCTTTTTTTTTTCTTTTTTTTGTTTTTCAAGACAGGGTTTCTCTGTATAGCCCTGGCTGTCCTGGAACTCACTCTGTAGACCAGGCTGGCCTCGAACTCAGAAATCCACCTGCCTCTGCCTCCCAAGTGCTGGGATTAAAGGCGTGCGCCACCACTGCCTGGTCCTCATTTTCTTTGTAGCATGTAACTACATACACATAGATGAATATATGCACACATCACACAGTTTGTTATCTTTAAACCTAGCATACAACCTAGATTCTCTAGATCTTCTAGGAAGACTGAAATGCACTATTCTTGAGCCAGCTGGGTCTCTTCTCCTTGGCGGGTAACTATTGAGAGTATAGGGGACACCAGCATTTCACCTAGAAGTTAAGATGGGAACCCGTCCAAGCAGGGTGGGGGCGTTCAGGGGAAGCTCCTTGAGCTAAGGAGACATCTGGCCTCTTTGGAAGCCCAAGCAGGAAACCGGAGCCAGGGAACTCTGCCTCCGGGGGAAGCAGCGTCTTGTGCGGATGCACGCAGTGTGCCCACCAGATGACAGTGACTGCAGCTTCCTCAGCTCCACCGAGGTATGAGCTCCTGACCCCTGACCCCTCACCCCTCACCCCTGACCTAGGCCCCTGTCCTCTGATGCATTCAGCCCAACACATCATTGAGGCTAAGATGTCTCTGGGAACCTTATTCCCATAGAGAAGAATTGATACCACTGAGCATTTCTAACAGGAAATCCACTCCCTCGTGGTTCTGGGAGCTGGAAAGCCAAAATCAAAGTGCCAAAGGGGCCACACTCCCCGTGACCTTGGAGGAGGACCTTTTCTATCTCTCCAGCTTTGCTTTCCCGACAGTCCTTGGCCTGCAGTCACGTCTCTCTGATACCTCTGCCGTCGCTTAGATCTCTCTAGATCTCCTTGTGCTGGTTCTTAATCGTTCTAACACTGGGACCTTTAAGACAGTTATATTTTCATTGCGACTTTAAAATTATAATTTTGCTACTGTTGTGAATTGTAATGTAAATCTGTAGACAGAGGTTTGCCCAAACCACTGAGACCCACAGGTTGAGACCACTGGCTTAGAGGGCGTATCAGGCAGTTTCCCTGAGATTAGCAACTTACATGGAGAAAGGTTGCTTGTGTTCACAGTTCAGAGGTTTCCCCCATAGATGCTCAGACACATCACTTCAGGCCTGTGGTGAGTGAGGCAGAACCTCCTAGCACAGCAGCTGGGAGAGCAGAGAGAAAGGCAGGGAGACAGACAGAGACAGAGACAGAGACAAATAGACAGAGAGACAGAGAGGGGAAGGGCAGAGACACAGACAGAGAGACACAGAAAGAGAGAGAAACTGAATACAATGCAGGGAATGGTCACCTGACAGTCCCATGCCAAGATGACCCCTGAGAAATCATGCCATGCAACAGATCTGGTGTAAGGGGAGTTATCTGGGAAAGGAAAGGGAGTGAGGATGTAACGGAGGGGCCAGAGGCAGACAGACGGGGGCAGAGCCATAGGGCAAAGAAGCAGAGACAGAGAGGGAGAGGGTGAGAGAGACAGAGAGAGAAAGAGGGAGAAGGAGAGAGAGAGGGAGATGGGGAGGAAGAGGGAGAGAGAGAGGAAGAGAGGGAGAGAGAGAGGGAGAGAGAGAAGGAGGGAGAGGGAGGAGAGAGAGGGAGAGAGAGGGAAAGAGAGAGAGAGGGAGAGAGAGGGAGGGAGAGAGGGAGAGAGGGAGACAGGCAGAAAGAGGGGGAAGGAAGGGAGAGAAAGAATAAGTGAGGGGGAAGGAGACAGGGAGGGAAGGAGAGAGAGAGAGAGAGAGAGAGAGAGAGAGAGAGAGAGAGAGAGAGAGAACAACCGGACTGGAGCAGTCCTGCAGTGGCTGGCTGCAGGTAATGGCAGCAGTGATAACTTGCTAACTTAGTTGTTGCTAAGTCCCTGGGAGGAGCCTAGGGGAATCACCTGTAAGCCAACAGAAACAGACAAGACAGGGAAACACAAACAGACAGTCAGAGAGACAGAACCTGACTTAATATCTCCTGCAGGGACACCCCGATGACCTAACTAACTTCCCTCCATAGGCCTCCTCCGAAAGTTTCAATTACCCAACAGTACCACACCCACAGACAAGCCTTCAACACATAATCTTAGGGACATTTAAAAACCTAAACTACAACAGGAAGACACCAACGGATTTGCAGCCCACTCTGACGACGTGTGACATCTTAGCTTGATTTCACCTATGAAGCCCCTACTTTCAAACAAGGTCACATTCAGAAGTCGTCAGGGGACCTGGATTTCAGTGTCTCTATTGGGGTTGTGGCCAGGATGGGAAGGAACCTTAGGGACTCAGCACTGAGTCCCGATTTGCCTCCCTCTCAAATACCTGAGTGGGGTCACCTCCCCTGAGTAGCTCTCCCCCACACTCTAGGATGAGGCCATTTTGGCTCTGGCTCCCTCCCACAGTGCCAGATCTGTTGCTCACTCTGCCATGCCCTCTCACTGGGCTCCTCTGTCACTCCCTCCAGGAAGTCTGCCATACCTGTGTACTTACTCACTGATCTGTGCTTTTCCCCTGTGGTCAGCCCCGCCCCCAATCCCACCCCCCTCCCCTGGATGGCACCCGTCCTCAGGGTGCCAACAAAGAACCGGATCCAGAGAGCCGCTGCAGGGATTCCCAGTGAGTGGACCTGGGTTGGCTCAGCACCTGCCCAGAACTGGCTCCATCCTGAGCCCACTCCCCTCACCAGTCAGTAACTCCCTTTCCCAGCATCTCATTGCTTTATATGCAAAATGGTGTACCAAACACACGACCCAGGGAGTATACAGTAGGCACTCAACAAGTGTGACTTAATGTTCTCCTCCTCTGCTTTTCTTTTCTGTGCCGTCACCCTCTGCCCTTTGCCAGTCCCGGCTGTGGTGGGACCTGAATTCCACATCCAGCCGGGAGCAGATGGACAGCTTCCGCTCCAGCAGCCCTATGCCTCCCAGCCAGCAGTCCCTGTACAAGCGGATGGCAGAGGACTTCCTGGAAGACCCCGAGTCTCTAAGGTAGAACATGGTCCAGGCTTGGGGTCCAGCTTGCAGGGAATGCCAGCTAGACCAGGGACAATCTGGACTCTAGGCACTGCAGCTTGGGAAGGTGCTGGGAGCTTGGGGCCTCGGCTGGAGTGGGCCATGCCACCTGGGCATGAGAGCTAGTTTCTTGTGCTCTGTGACAGCTTCCCAGAAGTCCTTGAGGTGCGCCTCCAAGGGGCTGTGGTGGACGACACAGACACAGACCTGGAGTTTGAGGTGTTAGACGGAGCGGGTGAGTATTTCCACACACAGGATCTCCACAGTGTGTTCTCTTCCTGGGCCGCAGGGAGGCATCTGAGACAGCCTGAGCCTCTCTTGAGGGACCGTACAAAGATGTGAACTTGACCTCTGACCTTGGCCTCTAGTCAAGACTATCACAGCCCAGCTGGGCTGTTTGCTGTTGTCTTTTTAATTCTCTCACACAGGCCTAGAGGGTTGTACATAGCCACACAGGGCTCGCATGTGTGTTCAGGTAGCCACAGGCAGGCGGGTTCTCTTCCCCATCGCTTGCCCTGTGAACAAACACTAAAGGGGCAGCAGGCATGGGTGCTCAGTGGCCAGCAGAGACATCTGACACCAGCTGCATCTGACAGGGGCATCCCTTCTCCTGGGCGCTGGCTCCCAAGGGTCTCCTCATTTCCTTACATCTGTGACTGAACTGGCCCCTTGTGATTGGCATTGGCAGATTTCCACTTCACACTTGGGCCACACCTGGGGGCACACCTGGCTCTCACAAAGGTGCTCGGCTCCTATCCAGAATTCACCCTACAGCCACCAGGGGGCGAGAGTACCCTGTATTGTTCAGCACAGTGGACTAAAGGACCAAAAATCCAAATCCTTTCCAGCTTCTATCTCAGGTTCTCACACTGTTGCTGAATTACACTCAAACACATCTGGAGTGTTTCCTTAATTTATTTGTCTTTTAGGATAATCAAATAGTTTTCTTTTCCTGTGTCTGGGCTAAGACCATCTGTAGGTGGCACCTGTTAGATTTCCATCGGCTCTTGAGATAGGAATAGGATGCCCTGGGCCCTAGGTCACAGAATACAAATTTAAATGCTATCTCTGGGGTTGGGAAATGGCTCTCAGTAGGTAAAGAGCTTACTGTGTGCAAATGAAGGTCTGATCACCAGAATCCACATAAAAGCTAGGTACGGCAGCAAGCGTCTATAAGCCCAGCGCTGGGGAATTAAGTTAGGTAATTATCTGGGGTTCTCTGACCAGCTAGGTTAGCTAGAATGTAAGAGTTCTGACTTCAGTGGGAGAGGCTGCCTCACAGAAAGTGATAGAGAAGACAATGGATTCAGACCTATGGCTTATACACACACACACACACACACACACACACACACACACTCAGAGAGAGAGAGAGAGAGAGAGAGAGAGACAGAGACAGAGACAGAGACAGAGACAGAGACAGTGGCAGGCAGATAGCTCTGGATGTGGAGACACACACACATGTAATCCAGACCTTGGAAAAATGGAAAATTCAAGGGCTACATAGTGAAACCATTCCAAATTAATTAATTTTTAACATGCTAGGGCTTGGAGACCCCCAGGGAGCATCTAATGTGAGGCTTCACAGGTCCAGCATAGCCAGTGGGGTGCTGGTCAGTGCCAAGGAGCAAGCCAGGGCTGTGCCAGATTTCAGACTCCCTGTTTTTAGATTTATTCTATGTGTATGGGTGTTTTGCCTGCATGTGTGTCTATGTACCGCATGCATGCCTGGTGCCTACAGAGGTCAGAAAAGGGTGTCAACCCCCTGGAGTGGGAATTACAGACAGTTGTGAGCCACTGTGTGGGTGCTGACAATTGAATTCTGATCCTCTACAAGAACAAGTGATCATAACTACTAAACCACCTCTCCAACCCTTAGGTTTGACCCTTAATTAAAGTTAGAAATCTAAATGTTGGAATCTAGTTCAGGTGCTGCAGAATGATGCCGGTAGCTCCCACCGTGGAAAGATGAAACCAGATAACTGAGCACAAAAGGAGGGCCCTCGAGAAGGGGCTGAACCAGGCCTGGGATATCTGAGGCCAAAGGAGGAGGGCTGAGGCCACAGCAGAGGAAGAAGGGCAAGGAGACATGAGCCCAGGCTAAGCCTGGAATGAATCTCATTTCCTTCCAGAGCTCTCTCAGACAGAGGACAGCCTGCAGGGGTCTTCCCGGAGCCTGAATGTCTCAGAAAGGTGAGCAGCATGCTGGGAACACCCACTGACTGGAGAACAGGAGCCTAGAAGTGACAGAGCAGAGTGTGACTGTATCCTCTAACCGTGGGGAGTCACAGCATTTCCAAGAGGATTGGCCAGAGCAGAGGATTCCTGAATCTGGGGCATCTCCAATCTCTGTGCTCAGGTTGTGTCTGTCTGCCTACAGCAGTGGCCCTGTGAGACGGAGGCCAGCCCGCAAGATCCTAAGCCAGGTCACAGTGCTGGCGTTCCAAGGGGACGCATTGCTGGAGCAGATCGGTGTCATCGGCGGGAACCTCACTGGGATCTTCATTCACCGTGTCACCCCCGGCTCTGCAGCAGATGAGATGGCCCTGCGTCCTGGTACCCAGATCTTGACGGTAAGCAAGAGAGGAACACCATGCCTGAGCCAGGCTTCCGGGCCAGGGTTCAGGTGTTTGGCCGGAGACAGTGGTCTGGCTCTGACATGGTCTCAGGTCTGTTCTGGGTTAATGGAAAGTGCCACACATGTCTATAGATACAGAAGAGGGTCATGGGAGGGAAACCAAGCCCTTTTCTTAAGCCGACCCTCCAGATCCCTCAGAGCCTGGAAACTCAGAGAATACTACTGGGTTACAGCAGTTCTGACCTTGGTACTGTTCTGGGGGTTAAGTTGACAGGGGGTGGGCTCGTATCTGTCAGACAAGTGATCTAGCACTGAGCCACACCCCAGCCCTGACCAGGCATCACAAGCTGTCCTGACAGCTTTGAGTGTATTGTTACCTGTGATGATCTTATTGTCATTTTGTATATGTGCAGGAAAAAACGTATAGATGACATAAAATTCATTATTGTAACTATTTTTACTGGCATATGCTCAAATCTGGATAGCACACAAATATACATATAAATATAAAACAAATTATTCTTATTAAGCGAATGCATGTGTGTGCCCTAACAGCCTAATTTTCTTCAATTGTGTGTGTGAGTGTGTGTGAGCACGCGCATGCATAGTATAGTACACATTGTATGGTACGTATGCGTGAGTGTGACTGCACACACCTGGATGTCAAGGGCAACTTTGGTTCTCTCCTTCCACCTTGCCTTGAGGCAGGCTCTCTCTCCAGAAAGACATTTATTTAGTTTGGTGTGGTGGTGAGCACCTTTAATCACAGCGCAGAAAAGGCAAAAGAAGGCGTGGGTCTGTGAACTGCAGGCCAGTCTGTTCTGCAAACGGGAAGCTCTGTCTCAAGCAAACACACTTATTTATTTACTTATTTGTCTGTGCGTCACAGAACACGTGTGGTGGTTAAAGGACAGCTTGTTGGAATTGCTTCTCTCCTCCTTCCATGTGGGTCCCAGGGACTGAATTGAGGTTCGCAGCCTTTGGGGGTGAGCGCCTTCACCCACTGAGCCATGGGGCTGAACCTGGGGGGTTTCTCCTCTTCTCCTTCCTCCTCCTCTCCCTCCTCTTCTCCCTCCTCCTCTCTCTCCCCTCTCCCTTCCTCCTCTCCCCCTCTTCTTCTCCCTCCTCCTCTCTCTCCCCTCTTCCCTCCTCCTCTCCCCCCTCCTCTCTTTCCTCTCCCCCTTTTCTTCTCCCTCCTCTTCCTCTTCCTCTCTCTTTTCTCTCTCCCCCCATCCTCCTCTCCCTCCTCCTCCTTTGCCTTCTTAGGGTTTTGCACGTTTGATATTTCAATTAGTTTTTTCTTTGTTCTTTTTGTTTTTTTAATTTTGTTTGAGATAAGGTTTCTCTGTGTAGGCCTGGCTGTCCTGGAACTCACTCTATAGACCAGGCTGGCCTTGAAATTAAAGACATCCACCTGCCTCTGCCTCCAAGCGGTGGAATTAGAGGCATGTGCCAGCTTATTTCTGCCTCTTGCACGCCCACTCTCTGGTGAGTGAGTTTCTGAGCTCTGGGTCACTCCCCTTTCCCACCTCACACCTCCATGTAAAAGGAGATTACAGATGCACAGGGCAGGTAACATCCAGTCTCTCCCTTGGGTTCCGAGAGTTGCTTGTGCAGCAGATGTCTTTGCCCACCGAGTGTCTCCCCTGCCCCAGAAGCAGAATTATTCAACTTCAAACCTTTTAAATGATTTTTAATTTAAATTTTTTTATTATGTGTATGGGTGTTTTGCTGGCACGCCTATGTATCATGTGTGTGCCTGATGCCGATGGAGATCAGAAGAGGTCATTGGATGTCTTGGGACTGGAGTTACAGTTATGAGCTACCAAGTGGGTACTGGGAACTGAACCCTTGTCCTTTGGAAGAGTGGCCAGTGCTGTTAAACACCAAGTCATCTCTCCAGTCCCTACTTTTATTTTTAATTATGTGTACGTGTGTGAGAGGGGTGTGTGCAAGATGCCTGCAGAGGCCAGACTCAGACAACAGAGCCCCTGGAGCTGGAGTCATAGACAGCTGTGAGCTGCCTGTAAGCGCTGGGAATAGAACCTGGGTCCTCTGTAAGAGTAACAAGTGATTTAAGCCTTTAAAAAAAATCACGAAACCATGCCAGACAAGTTTCACCTCATCCCCGAGGCTCACCTGTTGGCCCTAATGAGAGAAGGGAGCGGGGCAGAACACCTGGGCAAGGGCATGCCTGTCAGAACAGGGTGTCCACAGGGAAGCAAGAGCCTCTCCCTCTCTCTCTCTCTCTCTCTCTCTCTCTCTCTCTCTCTCTCTCTCTCTTTTTTTTTTTTTCTTTTTATCTTTGGTTTTTCGAGACAGGGCTTCTCTGTGTAGCCCTGGCTGTCCTGGAACTCACTCTGTAGACCAGGCTAGCCTCGAACTCTCAAACTCAGAAATCCGCCTGCCTCTGCCTCCCAAGTGCTGGGATTAAAGGCATGCGCCACCACCGCCCAGCGAGCCTCTCATTCTTAAGGAGCCCACACGCTCCTCCTACAAGGACATCCCCTATGCCCCTACATACAGACATGGAGAGCTCTGTGATATTCCAGTCCTAAGACTGACTGGTCAGCTGAGGAGCCATTCACAATGCAGCACCCTCTAAGGCATTTGAGAGACAGTCATATCATCCTGGGGCAATTCCGAACTGACAGTCTAGGATGTATCATCATACACATATACTAACACAGAAGAACATGTCTCCTTAAACTTAACCATGTGATGAGGGATACATCAGACAACCTGCACCTGGTAGGGCTTCACAGCTGTGGAGGTAATGGAGCACTCTGTACCTAGAGGGAGGATCAGTGATGCCACTCAACAACCTTGACACAGAGCAGTCGGCCCCCTGATCTAGAATGATCCAGAATGTTCTGAAACCTCTTGAGGCCCATTTTCAACAGAGGAAATTGGTTATGACAAAGAGGCTATCCTCAGCAGTGAAAGTCCAAGGGTGGGTTGATGGGTGACCCTTCAGGCCAGGAATGTGTACAGTGTACATGTTTGCATCTCGATGCTGTAACAACTCTGTCCCTACATTGTAGCTGTCTTTGCTACTCTGTGGGTTCTTCTCTTCAGGGCAGGAATGTGTAGAATGTACA